CCTGCCTGGCAGTGCGTACGCCCGTGCCACAATGGCACCGATAAGCGAGAGAGAAAGACAGAGAGAGAGAGAGAGAGAGAGAATGAGGGAAGACCAGTTGAAGGTGAGGTCATGTTTGGAAGGGGAATAAACGCAATTGAGAACACGTCGAGGGCAGGAGTGAAGTCGACGTGACCTGATGAGGACATTCCTCAAGCCAGGCTGGAAAGAGATGAAGAAAGCGAGAGAGAGAGAGAGTGAAAGAGAACGATAGAAACTGGCAGAAATGATGCGAGAAAGCAAGACTGTTCTTCGCTTGAGGTCACGTCACCTGAAGAGGCCAAAGCTCTTGATTGGCACCAATCAGAATTGAGTATTGATCCGTTTGACCTGAGCAGATCAGACCCATTGGCCTGCTTCCGCTCTGGTGGGCTGAACGCCACTCCTTTCTCTTCAAACCGGCCTCCACAACCGGCACACGCTTTCTGTACACTTGTCTGTGACATTACCGTCAGGACGACAGGGCTGGGGGCTCATAGACTTGGCAACTTTTGCATTTATTGTTTGGACTTGAAGACACGGCATGCCTGCAAACAGGGTGTAGACGCGTTTGTGCACAATCGACTCTCAAAGTCGTCTTTGAGTGTACACGCCCACCTTCACCGCTCCCTAATTTCCATTTCTGCTTGCCGTCTTGCCTGGTGGTTTGCAGTGCCCCAACTAAACCTCCACACATACACACACACACACACACACACACACACACCTACATACATACACAAATGTCGATATGCAGACGAATGACTGTGTTGCCGGTCGCCAAGGCTTGATTGCCCTCCTTATCGCGTGGCCTTAGACGCGGAGGCTTGTGCCGATTCTCTTATTTGTCTGTGTGCGTCTGCACGACCTCATTCAGGTCAGGCTCGGCCAATCAGAGCAAACTTCACCTTCTTCGGACCGGCCAACAGCTCGAATTCACCCGAAACGTCCAAGCTCGCCAAAGCGAGTCTTGTAGAGAAGAATCGGTAGGCTTGCCGGCTGAATAGGCTTCGAGGCGGTCAGGGCGACTTGAATTGGTGCCAATACCAGCTTGGCCGATTTCGGGTCGGGCTCCTGCCACAATCTTGTGCGTAGACGCCACGACGCCATTGACACATCTGAACAAGTTTACTCCGACCCCGTTTGGGTCCCGTACAACCAACAAAAGCGTCTCCACACCGGCTCTGCAGCATCAAAGTCGTGCTCGCATCAATTTTGGCCGAAAAAGCCTCTTGCCAAACAGACCGATGCCAAAGTGATCGGCATCGTGAGGCCTATTTGCTTCGTTCAAACAGCCGTTCTGAAGTAGATTCTTGATCAAAAACTACTGATAGCCTCGAACAGTTAATTAATAATTAAATAAAAAAATATATAATTGTTATAATTATTAATAAAAATAGCAAATATATAAATAATGCTAATAGTGGTAATAGTGATAATTAATAATTATGTAGATAGGTAGATATGGCAAAAATGAACAAT